ATTTTATGTTGATATAAATGTCCCTCTGTTTAAATGTACTTTGGTTCTGCTTTTCTAACTCGGAATTCGTATTTGTTCATCGCTTGTTAAATTTTCGTAATATCTCTATTACGTGATAATGTCATTAGAGTATGCATATGCATTCGTAATTTATGAACAGTCATCGTTCCGTGATGTCCTTTTGTCTAAATTTAGCCAGTAGAATTAATCATTACTGTTATTGACACCAGTTGCCGTATGCCCCGTACAATTTTAGAGGAGAGTTGACTTGAGTGGATAAGTGGGTAAAGTCAAGTTGTATTTTTGAATTTTTATGTATCAGTTTGAAATCGTTGACTAGTCAATGTTTAAAGCATTTTTTCTAAAAGGTGTGGCAAACGGACTATTTTGCTGACGGTGTTTCGAATAATTCAGGTGTTGAACGTTTTTGCAATTAGTTGGGACGACAAAATATTTGTTGGTTTCTATCATATGCTAATTTCGTTTTCACGAGAACTATTGCGAGTACAATTTACTCACGTCCTTTTTGAAGAACCTCTCCATTCTTTCCTGCACGGAGAAACCTTTCTTCTCTCTGGTCATAATGTAAACGTTGCCAATTTCGGTGCACGTTCTCAAGAGCTTCTCCAAGATGAAGCTGCCGTAGAAACCGGTGCACCCCGTGAGGAATATGTGCTTCCCGGCGTAGAAATTCCGTATCTGGCCATCGCTCTTTTTCGAATTGCTTGTCACATTCATTTTTAGAATATCAATTCTTTCTCTGCTGCAATTTACGCTTGCGCTTCTTCTCGTCACTTGACAAAATCTCGTTCGAATTTCTGAATGATGCTGCCTATATGGCACTCGGTTCGGCTGTTAAAGGAATAAAAAATAAGTAATAGTTGTATATATAAATACGGATAATAGCTGATGCATCAAATAAATTTAACTGAATCGAGTTTGCATAACTGTTAATGAACGTACTTTGGTTTCTTCCGCTGGATCATTAGGACCACATCAGCAACGATTGCAGGGAACACGTGGAATAGCACGTGCAGTACGAAAAATATGTAAATATTCCCAACTAAGAACATGAATGGATACCAGGCAATCTTTGATGACGGATACTTCTCAATTGATTTGATATAATTTGGACAGTATGTATGAAAACTCAGAGGATTCCAGTCAGACGATCCACAATTGTACACTTGTGGCTCGTTCGATTCCCTTAATAAATGCAATACGATTATCAATCAAAAATCGGTTTTCTTTGAAGAGACACAATAATAAGGGCTGTAAAATCGCTAAATACTGATACCTGTGGACAGCGTAGTCCCAGATCGCTGACAAAAGGCCGTTAGTCGCCAGGTCGACTGGAACATAGTCTGATATTACACCCGGTCCCATAGGCACTACGTGCAACAAGCCGAAAGCCTGCAGTGCCAGCAATATCACGGGACCATTCTTTGTTTCTATCCATCCACGATAAGGTTCTCGCATTGCATGTATAACTGTGCAAGGAATTCACTATATTATACGCATTGTAAACTGATTGTACAGAGACCAATACTTAATATTACATTTGTACGCACACTCATGAAACAAGACAAGAAAATGCAACTAATAATCATTGCCTAATGAGCTGCTTTAAAAGTTCAAATACAAGACGATGCAATCTTACTTATAGAAGGCCTGTAGATGATGCATGGGAGCGAACTCCGCTTAGCAAAATCCTCGACTACACCCTCGGTGACGGCTTTGCTGAACGCGTACTGATTCAACCATTTCCCTATAATATCGTTAAGAGCTTCCTTCGAAAGTCCGGCAGCGTTCTCCTCATCGGCTCGTATGATGTCCTCGATCATCTTCAAACCGCACGGGGGCGCGTAAAACTTTTCTTCGATCGGGTTCATGTAATGATGAGAGTACGCGGTCGACACGTACACGAACGCGTTCAAATTCGGGCATTCAGCCGCCAGCTCGAGCATCTTCTGCGTTCCGAGCACGTTTATTCGCAAAAGAACAGACACCTTCGCCTCGAAGTACACCATTGACGCGTTGTGAATGATTATGTTCACGTTCTTCACCAAACGTTCACGATCCTCTGCCGAAAGACCCAAGTCAGGCTGGTACAAATCACCGTGAATCGGAATCACCTTATCAGTAAACGTTGGATTCATAGCACGCAACTTGTCGAACACCTGAAATTTTTTTACGAGATGCGTTGTAACATTTATGTGTGATCATGAATTATGTTCTGGGTCCAAGGGATGAATTTAGTTAATTCCATGACTCGCGCAATTTATTTTCAATTGTTATTTTAAATTGTAATCAGAATGAAGTTTATTAAAATATGAATTTTATGCTTGAAATTTTAGGCTGATATAAATGTCCCTCTGTTTAAATGTACTTTGGTTCTGCTTTTCTAACTCGGAATTCGTATTTGTTCATCGCTTGTTAAATTTTCGTAATATCTCTATTACGTGATAATGTCATTAGAGTATGCATATGCATTCGTAATTTATGAACAGTCATCGTTCCGTGATGTCCTTTTGTCTAAATTTAGCCAGTAGAATTAATCATTACTGTTATTGACACCAGTTGCCGTATGCCCCGTACAATTTTAGAGGAGAGTTGACTTGAGTGGATAAGTGAGTAAAGTTTGAAACCGCTGACTAGTCAGTGTTTAAGGCATTTTTTCTAAAAGGTGTGGCAAACGGACTATTTTGCTGACGGAGTTTCGAATAATTCAGGTGTTGAACGTTTTTGCAATTAGTTGGGATGGCAAAATATTTGTTGGCTTCTATCATAGGCTAATTTCGTTTTCATGAGAACTATCACGAGTACAATTTACTCACGTCCTTCTTGAAGAACCTCTCGATTCTTTCCTGCACGGAGGAACCTTTCTTCTCTCTGGTCATAATGTAAACGTTGCCAATTTCGGTGCACGTTCTCAGGAGCTTCTCCAAGA